TACATTAATTATTTTCTTTTCAGTAACAAAAAGAGATGCAATTATTATAACTGGTTCAAGTTCAACACAAGAAGATTGGTGGTTATCATTATGTAAAATAGGATATATGTTGTCGGTATCTTTTTTTTCTTTTATTAATTGTAATACAATTATTGAGGCTACAGCTCGTTCATATACGAAAAGGCCATTTTTATATACTTTGATTGTTGATATTATTTGTTTTGTATTATATTTATCACTTTCATTAATGAATACTGAATTTTCTAAAAAAACTGGAATATTAAGTGATATTTGGGTAGAATATACTGGAATTGGAGATGGTTGGGAACCAATCCTTCCTTCAGATGGAAGTGTTGTTTGGGCAATAATTATTAAAATTATTATTATGTTATTGCCAATTATAACAACATTAAGTGTTTATCCTCCTTTAGTTGTTTTTGCTGCACAAACCATTTATCGTTATTTTAATGTCCAAACATTTATTATTTATCATTTCTGGGTTGATGTTATTGTAAGAGCGGGTATAGCATCTATCCCTGTGTTTTTATGTATATTTTATAATGATTCGTTGACGGTTCTTTCTTTTGTTGGCATATCTGCTACAATAATTGGTGTAATGATTCCTTCATTAATTCAATTTATTTCAGTTAAACACGTCCAACGAATTTTTGGAGAAGGAATGCATAAAACAATCTATACTGTAAAGTGTTTATGTTCAAGTACCATTGCAAAATTCATGTTTTTTATTGGGATTGTTGATATTTTGTTTGAACTTCTTCATTTTATATCTAGTTATTTCTTATAAGAAATAAAAGGTTATTTTAATTATTAACCATTTTTTATGGTTGAATTAAATTCCTTTGATTGAATATATTAATTATTCTTTAATTTTTAAATATTTTCTTTTCCATTTCCAATCCAAATACAATTAAAGATAGGTTCTTTGTTTTCAACTTTTGGAAATATTAACCTTCCCATGATATGACATTCCATTTTTGATAGATATTGTGGATTACTTTCTCGAGTCCAGAACTTCCCATAAATGGTAACTTCTGGATCTTTCACATCACATATTTTAAATATTAAGATGCAATCATTTTGAAATTGTATATCATCTAGGAAACAATGAACTTTGATTATTTCATTAACTTTATTTAGTTTCATTAATTGATTTACTTCATATGACTTAGATAAAACTTTTGTAGGGGAGTTAATAATAGATATGTTATAACCAGAACTCATTTTACCAACCCTTTTGATTATTATTTTATTAGGTTCTTTCATTTCATTTTTGAAAGTAAAATTTATTTTTTTCTTCATTGGCTCATTGTATTCTTTAGGTTCAGTCATCTATTTTTTCCTTTTGTTTATCTTCTTAAATATGTTTCATCTTGACAATTTTTTTTGACAATCCACAAAAAGAAAAAATCTGAAATTATCAAAAGTGAAAACCATGATAATAGAAATGATTAAAGACAATTAAGTCAAAATAAACGATGATTTAAAAGTAAACACTTTTTTATTCAGCAAGATATTGAGCTAGTCCATGAGGTGGCTGACCCATTTTTTGAATAAGATCAACAACTATTTCCATTGGAGGTTCTGTAGATTGCTCAAATAGCTCAACAATTTTACAAACAGTTTCATATTGTTTGATTCGTTTTTCAAATTCTTCTGATGTAATAATTGTTTTATTTTTTTCAAGCCATTCCGGGAATTGTTCTTTTAGTTCTTTTATTGGTTCATACAAAACGTCCTTAGACAAAAAGGGTCGTAACATACTAATTAAGGTTTCTTCAAGGCCATTTAAATTTTTATCATCAGAAGATTTATCCTAAATTTTGTTATTCACGTTTAATTTTTACAACTATATATTTGGCAAACAATTTGATTAATTTGTTTTGTTAAATCATAATAAATCTGTGATAAATCAGGAAATTTGATGTCTTCAATAGATTGATTTGTAGTATTATCACTTTCTTTTTTCTCTTGTTCAATCATTTGAGATAAAATATCTAGAAATAAGTAAGAAGATATTTTAATAAAAATGGATATACAAACAAACCATCTAACTCTTTATCATCCATTTTTTAGAATAATTTTTAGTACTAAGTTTTTTTTTTCCTATTTTAAGAATTTTTATTTAAAAGAATGTCAATGAAAAATAGACATGTCAATAAAGGGATTAAAAGTTAAAAAGTGAAAAGATGATATTGTTCAATCTTGAAAAACTACATAAATGAATTCTCAAGAATTACCTTTTCAAAAAAGAACAGAACCAAAGACAGAGTCAACATTTTTTGAATATCTATCTTCTTTTACAACTACTGTAATGAATCAATTGTCTTCTTCATTTATTCCACACTTTACATATAATGGAAATCCTTATGTTTATAATGCTATTTGTGATTGTCTTAACGATTTAAATTATAGCCGTTTAGAGTATCAATGTAATAATGGTATTCCAGCTGAATTACGTGCATACGTTTGGTATGCGTTATTACTTCGCCCATCAAATCCGTGGGAAATTAAACACCTTTATTCTGAAGAAAATGGAAAAGAATATAAATCTTTACAATCTATGTTAAATACATTAGTTGGTAATGAAAAAAGTTTACAAGAAGGAGTTTTTCAAATGTCTAAAATTGATCAAAAAACTTTAAGGGTAATAGAATGTGATATTGTCCGTACTTTTCCAGAAGGGGCAGAATATCTTTTTAAAGAACCAAAAATTACTGCAATGCTTCGTCGAATATTACAAATATATTCAATTATTCATGTTGATCGAGGATATTTCCAAGGATTAAATGATATTGTTGGTATTATTATAACTGCGTTTATGGAACCTAAACAAATAAATGGTGTATTTGTTGTTCCAAAAGATGATATATTATTTCAAGTTGAAACAACAGTCTATTTTGCTCTTGAAAAGATAATGGATAAACTCTATATAAATCATTCAAACTCATTTCATGTAGACTTATTATGGACAGAATTTGTTGACATTGGTGATCGTTATTATAGTTTATTTTCAGTTGAT